TATATATATATATATATATATATATATATAATGAACATTGATTGGGTTATATCTAATATAATAATAACACTTTACTGCATATTTTAATTTCTAAATGGTGTAAGAACGATGGACGAACCGTCGAATTCGTAGAAGTATCGCATTTACCATCTCGAGGTAAGTAACTACTTTTATTAGAAGATAAACATATTGTTCCAGTTAGAACGTTGATCCTTGTTAATTATAGTACATTTATAGTTATTCTATAGAATTGTCATTCATGCCCCTGCTACTTTGATTTTAGCTTCGTGTTTGTTATAGACTTCAATTATTGCTCACGATGGAACGACTATCTTAATTTATTGATGCAAATTTTTTACATATTTGAGTAACCCTGTAATTATAGTGTTTTCCTTTTTTTTCCTTTTTACTTTATAAACTTGCATGTGAATTCATGTCATATCACTAACCTTTGTGAAACTGCATACTTCTTACATAATATATCTGTGGAAACATTTTGGCATGTTTGTGTGTGATGGCATATAAGTCAATGGAACCCTTTTGAATTTTGACTAGCTGGGCCAATAGACCCACAGTGATGACGCTATAGGAAATCGTCGAATTTTCTTGCGTTGATATTAACCTTCCCGGTTTCAGGGTGTCTATTAAAACCAACTCTATAAATAATAAATTACAAAATAAATAAAAAGAAACTTGATGAAAAACCGACTATTATATTATTCTTATTTGGGTCTAGTTGTTCCATGTGATCATTTTTATTTTGATTCGGCTAGTTTTTTATTTTCAGTTTAGTTGTATCGATGAATTTTTCAGTATTAATAAAATTTGCATTTCCCTTTTTATTGGCATGCAAGTCTTTCTTAAATAATATAGAATAGGTTTATTTCACTTTATTATGTCATGTGTTGCCGGCATGTACAGACTTTCGGACTCGAGGTGTGATAGAATGGTATCAAAGCCTATGTTTTGTATTTAAATTTCCTTAACATTGCATTTCATATCTCTTTGTTTTCTTAGGATTGGGTATGGGATAGGTTATCAATGTTAGTTAGTTATTCAATTGATTTTGATTTTACGTATCTTTCAATTATTTCGAATGGCTATGAAAAGAAGAGGCGCTATAGCAACTCGTGGAAGAGGAGTCCAGAGAGCTACTACAAATGACGTGTCTGTTCCTAAGGTTATCCTGCAAAGACCACCGAGACTGCTAGAGCACATAATCTCAATATGAAGACTCTCGTGGAGTTGATAACACAGCATGTTACCCAAGTAATACAAGCTAACTTTGCAGCCCGCATTGCATAAGAGGTCCAAACTATCCAGCAATCAGTGCAACCAGCATTACAAGCCACTCAACCAGTACCACCAGTGACTGCCATGAAGGCTCAACCTAATCAACCAATGGCAATGACCAATGCGAGCACTATAGATTGAAAGATGGATCAGTTTCTAAAGACACATCCTCCTACATTTAATGACATGGTGGACCAGATTGAGTCTGATGCATGGCTCCATAATATAGAGAAGAGGCCTCGAGGAATAAAGTGCCCTAAAAACCATAACGTAGATATTGCAATATTCCAGTTGCGTGAAGGAGATGGTGATTGGTGGGAAAGTCACCATCGCAATGCTTTTGGACCAGACGCAGTAGTTTCCAGGGCGGATTTCGAGGACAATACCTGAAGCAATATTTCCCTATAGCGGACATGACCAAGCTCATGAATGACTTAAGGAAGTTGGAGCAAGGAATGAAAACTGTTTGGGAGCAGGATACGTAATTTGTCAGGATCATCTTTTCATCCCATCATTTAATCAACATGAATATCAGAAGATAAATCACCTACTTGAGGCTTGAGAGAGAAGACATTCAGAGGTTCCCATTAGTTGTCAAGAGTATGACTTATAGAAAACAGGTGGATCGAACTATTCATGCGAAGATATAGATCAACGCTTGCATAGTAAAACATGTCTGGAAGCGGAAGAATCCAGATACACGAGCTAATAGGAGGTCCCAAAAGAAGCAACATCAAAATAATTAGGCATATAAGTCAAAAACAAATCCTTGATGCGTTCACTGCGAGAAATGACATTTTGGAACTTGTAACTTGGTCGTCAGCAAATGTTTCAACTGTTATAGTATCAATCATAAAACTACAAGAATATGTGACATAAGTCAAGTGGAGAACAATTTCAGAAGCATCGCAAAAAAGAGTTGAGCAAAGCAGAATTATTTTCAGCCTCAACAACAACAATAACAAATGGTGGCATCTCAACCGTATCAATTGTATCCTCTTGCACCATAATAACAGTAGTACCAGGAACCAAAGCAGCTGCCATGGATGTATCAATAACCCTCAATGGTGCAATACTATCCTCAACAAACTAAAACTCCATAGCAGCCCAAACAAGCAATTCCACCACAAGCATTTGTTATGGCGTAGATAGAAGCTTTTGAAGCTCCTGATGTGATGACAGGTATCATCCTTACTTCAAATCAACCGACAATGATATTATTTTTCTGAGGCAACACATTCATTCATCTCAAACAATTTGCATCCAGTGTATTAATTTCTTTATTACAATCACACCTATCAATCACCCTGTCATCTGGCTCACATGTGATTGCTATTCAATGTGTTCGTGATTGTAACATTGCCATAAATGACATGCATATGCCTGTTATTCTCATTTTATTCCCAATAGTTGAGCTTGATGTAATCTTGAGTATGGACTGGTTAGCCACATATCATACAATTATAAATTATTGTAAGAGACGGGTGAATTTCTGCATACTTAGCTCAATTCCCTTCTGCTTCAAGGGTATCAGAGGAGCTATTTTTTGTCCAATATCAGAGCATGCAAGTTTTTCTTTGAGAAATGCAATATATGTTCATTTCTTTGTGTTCTGCGTTGTTGAGGTATACCGCCTTTAGGACTTGGGATGTGACAAGATGATTAAATGATATATATACATAAATGAGTTATTAAGAAGTTAGATGCTTATGTTGGAGTTCTTAAACTTTGTTCCATCTTAAATGAAAAACAGTTTAAGATTGATATTATAAATCCAAAGAAAAATAGGCTGCGGAGAAGAGTTCAAATTAAGTATCTAATTTAATATTGTAGAATTGGATGTACAACTGAAGAAATAACTTATGTGCTAATCCTTTTTAATATGTTTTAATTCTACTATTGCATCACTAAAATTACTTAACATATGAAATTTAGTTTATTTTGGGAGTATTTTGATCCAAAAGACATTTTGTTGTCTATCGCATAATTAAACAATTATATGTCTAAATAGCCGAAAAACGAGGGATTAAAATTCAAAAAAAAAAAATTGAATATTTCTTTTGTTAAATAACTTTTTTGTATAAGATAAGGCGTACCTTTGCTGTGGGGAGACATGCATTAGTGAGCAGAATGAATGAACTTCCTCAGAAGAAGCTGCGTTGTAGATGCCCAATGACTCTTGCAATGGTGCAATCTGGCTATACTGATTGGGTGCCATGTATCCGCTACCAGCGGAAACCTCGGTATTGCGGCGGTGCTCCATCAAAGATGGAACGATAGCCCTCATCTCAGCCGCCAAAGCAGCCGGAAAGCCGTGATTTATCACTCGGAAGCAGCCCATCTCAGTTATTGCTGCGGCCAGCTTCTGCTTCCCCGCCTGAACGAAGCAATTAGCCAAATCGATCACCGGCACGGAAATCTTCGCCGTTTCCATCACTTACAAAGTCCTCTGTTTCGCTCAGCTAGGAGATCGCCAGGGGCAGGCTTTGCTGCTTGAGGCGGGTTGGGGTGGATTTATGGCATGTTTGGGCAGCTGTAGTTTATATTCTACTTTAAAAAAAAAAAAGTTATTATCCTAACAGTCTGATTTAGATTATCAGGATAAATTGATTTTTTGTTTGAGGGAACTTAATCAGAATAATTTATTTGCAGCTATTTCTGAAAAAATAATCATCATGCTCCTGTTTAGTAATGTTGTTTGTAGCAGAATTATCTTGACAAAATAATTGATAAAATAGTAGTCACAAACTATTACATATCACTTTAATAAAATAAGTTTGAGTCCTCATTTTCTCGTAAGTATCAAAAGCAATAAAATAAAGTGAAAAAAAAATTACAACTATAATTAAAAATATTAAAATATTTTATTTTAAAATCCTGACAACGTATGTCCTCAATTGCACTGAAGTGAAAAAAAAATTACAACTATAATTAAAAATATTAAAATATTTTATTTTAAAATTCTGACGACGTATGTCCTCAATTGCACTGTCCTCTTGAGAAACCATCGTACCCCGATCACTGTCGGCAGTGGAATATACCGGAATGTCGACCCAACAAAAGAAATTGCATCGCACTGAAACTCCCCTGTGACAACCGTCTATCAACTACAACTTCTAGAAGAGCATCCAAAGCTCAATAAAGTTTATCTATTGAGTTTTTCACGAAAATGTTATTATCTTTCCTCCTTTTCCCAAGCCTGAGCCTCTTTGACATGCAACTGGACTCAATATCCTTCTGGTTAGTGCTAGGCACTTCATCGTGAGTCGTAACTTACTCAGGTGGCAAGTCATCTGATATGCCTGCAAACCCTAACTCAGTTGGGTTGAATGCATGTTTGTCCGTTGAGACAACCCCCTTAAACATTACGTCCAACTTATCTTCCAACTTCAGGTCAATTACGCACTGCTTATATTTTTTTGTTGTTGGAATTGACTGCAACGTGGGGGGGAGGGGGGTAGTAGAGGGCATGTTAGTTGAAATAAATAAAAAATGATCATAAGGCAAAGTAGAGTATAATTATTACCTCTAATTTCTCAACTCACAATTCCTTTAGAGCATCAATGGTTCGCTTAATGGGATCTCAACCCAACTCGGTGGATTCCCGTTTCAGCTCCTTCCATATCTTTCACTCCTTCTTCAATTGATCTCATTTATTTTTTAATTTCAACCTGTCATAATCTTTTCTCATCAATTCTTTCAATCTCTTCGCAATATTTTGTCAACATTTCTTATTAAAATACGCGGTTGGCTTATTTCCGAACTAAATTTTTTTAATATAAAAATTACAAAAAATGTTATTTACTTCTTATCCCACATTGCGAATGGATCCCCTTCACTCGTCTTAGCCATGTAAATACTAATTGAAGAATACGACACTTAAAACAAAAAAAATCAAAACATGTAACAAGCCAAAAAGTATTATGCATCATGAGATAAAGCAAACACATATTTAAATCATCTATATATATATGGAAAGAAATGAGGGCCACTTCCAGCCAATAGCAGTAATTACACTAAGTTGGCATGTAAGAAAATGGCACTATCCCAATAAGATAAGAAAGACTAGAATAGATAGGTGCATCCAAGAAAATGGAAAAAGAAAACTAAGTATAAGTTCTCATTCAAAAGATACAGAAAAAGAAATACAAGAGCTCATAGACTCCAATCACCAACAAAGTATATGAAAAGAAATTGTCCAAGGCAGCAATGCAAGCATAAAAGAAATGAAAATGAAGATAGCCAAGAACCACAAGAGACACTTATATTTTTTTTCCAAAATCATGGCAGCAAAACTTAATGGTCTCAACTTTGCCCTCAAAGAGAGAAACTGCATGTACACCTTCCAAAATAAGCAGCCAATTAAGCAGAAGAATTCATTCTTTAAGAAAAAAAAGCAAGGGTAGAAGCCAAATATAAAACAATGACAGGTATAAAACCCAAAAGAAAATACAATGAATGGAATGTTCCATCCAATTCTATGTGGAAGCAGCCAATAGAAAAGTCATCTAAGCCAAGACAACTTCAACAATCTCCTCTGAATTTCAATATTCTACTTTGTAAGTCAAATTGACAACCAGATCTTTTCCACTTATATTTCAATACAGGAGTTACTATTGCTAAGATTTTTGTTGTTCCTTTCAACCAAAAGGTAATGAGCGATGATGTGAACAGAAAATATTACAAAGAAGACAGTCCACATGAGAAAGAACTTGCACAAAAGAGTAGCCTATGACAGAAATTTCTAGCAAAACATAATTTTGAAGTATAGCACGAAATGTTGAACAATAGAAGGATAAATAAGCGAGGGATTCATTGAGTTCATTGCAAATGATACAAGTCAAATTAGTCGTAAAGCCTTCATAAGCAAAGACATCTTTCATTTTCAACGTACGCATAAGAATCTTTCAAGCAAATATAACATGTTTTAAGAGCACAGTCTTTGAACCATGCAAATTCTTTCCAAGTCAACATGGTTCAAGAATAAGACAAATTAAAAATATGCAAAAGAATAAGCCAACTGTAATTATTGATGGAGGAATCCCGAACATCAATGTTCAAAAATATGTTGAATGCAAGAGCCAAAATCAATATCAAAGGAAATAGGCAGAAGCCATGAACAACCACAATGAGGTTTTGAACTATAGTATTTGGATCAACTCAGAATATCACATTATTCCTAAATTTCTCGCAAAGGTCTCCACATTAAGCCGCAACTCATGAAAAAAAAAACATAACTTCTTTTTTTTAATGAACTTTAAATGATATGCAACGACGGACATTATTTGTCATAGCTCTTTCAAAAGAAAGAGGCGGTGTAATTTGGCTTAGCCCAAAGAGAATAGTAGGCAAGCTCCAAGAAACAAGCAACGAATAGTAATTATATAGTCTCCATATCAACTTAAATTGCACAAAATATGAAAAGTTTCTAAAGAAGTTAGCCCCAAACCTACAATGGCTTATCCATAACTGTTTGCCAACCCCTTCGATGCAAATAAAAAGTTACCAAATTGTAATAGATATGCCGTAAGACAATTCACCCAAGGGAAACCCCAAGGATTTACACAGAACGCTGATGTCAATCCCATGCTTCAGAAAATTAACAGAGAAAGAGAACATAAGGTTCCTTTCCATGACATTCCAGACAATTGCCTTCAATATCTAGGTGTTAAATAGAGCTTACCATGAACTCTAAAATTTTTGTATCAAAAGATGTCGGTGCTAAATTTATGCATTAAAAGATGCAAGGGCAAAATTTCTTTAGCTTATGATAGTTCTACCATGAACTCTAAAATCAAAAGTTTGCTAAAGAAACTTCACCTTAACACATTAAAGGACTCATTAGAGGAGAGTACAAAACTTGGATGATCATTGTGATGGGCAACGCATTTGATGGCTAATGCCAAAACTACATGGTGATATAGGCCTATAATAATTCAAGGTTATAGTATGTCGACTTTTACGAATTGAAATGATAGTGACATGCTTAACATGACTTTGAATATTATTGCAAGAGCAAAAAATACTTGAGTGCATCAAGGAAAGCGAAGCCTATGATATGCCAAATATCTTTAACAAAATTAAACATAAAAGCATCATGCCCATGAACCATATCATTCCAAATATAAAAAAGAGCCAACATAATCTTTCCCTCAGTGAACTCAGCAATGAGATTATTACAACCATTTTTTTTGAAAAAGTATGCATTTGTAAGGAATATTATAGGAAATGCAACTTGGTCTTTTATTATTATTAAGAAGAGTAGAAGCGTACATAATAGCTTTCTGCAGCTTATCCAAATCTTTTCTATGACAACAAAGAATAAAAAATCCTTACATACTGTTAAGAATTATAATAGGAAATAATTTATTCCTATAAAAAGTTATGAGGAATAAATTATTTCCTTAGAATTAAGGAGATATTTCCTTTCCTATTTTATATTTATTTTCTTGGATTATGAATTATCTATTTTCCTATTTTATGCTATCTCCTATATCTCCAAATAATTAATATGAATTAATTATTGGAGATATCAGGTGATATATTTTCTCTTTCATATCATTTTTTTTTTATTATTTTTCCTATTATATGATTCTTGTAAGAGTTATTTATATTGTTGTTCATATCAAAGAAATAATGAAGTATTTCACTTTATTCTGCATTATTCTGAATTTCAACATGGTATCAGAGTAAGGTTTCGTACCCTAGCCAGCGGTCCTCCTTTGAGAATTATCGGACTCCCTTCCTGCCATCCTCTGTGCACGAAGGGAGGGACACTCGGCATGATATTTGAAGTGATGATTTTTTCTACTTCTCAAATCCCTATTGATACATCAAAATATATACATTTTTAGACCCATATTTTATACTTATTTTTGGTGATATTGCACTTTAATGGAAGGTATTTTGATGTTTTCTTGCAGGTTGTTAATTTTTAAGGCTTAAAGTAAAAAGGATGAAATTTGGAGTCAAAATGACGTTTTTGAGGAAATACTCAGTGCCGGAAGTGCCAAGGTCAGTGCCGACGGGGCAGAACAATCAAAAGCTGGAGAATTTTTACTCAGCGTTGACAGCGCCAGACTAGCGTCGACGGCGCTAAAGGCGGTTCAGACCCCATTTCTAGAAGGTTTGATGTATTTGGATGATTTTTGAAGAGTTTTTAGAGGTACCTCTTAGAGAACCGACCTTAGGCTTTATTTGGGGCCGAATTTTATCTGAAAACAGGCTCTTCTACATTCATTTTTTGCTCCACAATGTTCCACCACACCACATTTTCATAATCCATCTTCATTCCATCACCATATTGGAGTGAATTAGTGATGTTGCTTTCATAGTTTAGAGTTTTTGTGGTGAGATTTAGTGTGAAACTTTCTGTAAGAGTGTTGGAGAAGAAAAAAAGTGAGAGAGTTCTTCTTCTTTCATTTCCTAGAATGAGCTAGAAGGGATTTTCTTTGAGAAAGAGTTTCAGATAAGTGTTGTTTGTTTATTAGTGTTGTATGAACTTTCTTTTA